GGTTTTCTTCTCTCACTTTTCCTCTTTCTTCTGATGGCCGACTGGATTATCAAGACCTCGACATCTGAGGGAAAACACGGTATACAATGGACAGCTCAGAACCAGTTAGACGATTTGGACTTCGCAGATAACTTAGCCCTCCTATCGCATACACACGATCAGATGCAGATAAAGACAGCCAGTGTAGCAGCAGTCTGCATCAGTAGGCCTCAACATAAACAAGGGGAAAACCAAGGTCCTCAAATTCAAAACAGAGAACAGCAATCCAGTCACTCTTGACGGCGGAACTTTGGAAGATGTAGAATCCTTCACATACCTGGGAAGCATCATCGATGAACAAGGAGGTTCAGGTGCAGACGTAAAGGTGAGGATTTGCACAGCAATAGCCGCATTCCTACAATTGAAGAACATATGGAACTCAAAACAACTTTCAACCAATATCAAAGTCACAATCTTCAATACCAACACCAAGGCAGTTCTACTGTACGGAGCTGGAACTTGGAGAACTACAACAACCACAATCAAGAAGGTACAAGTATTTATAAATGGTTGTCTATACAAGATATTCAACGTCCACTGGACGGATACCATCAGCAACAGTCTACTGTAGGAGAGGACAAACCAGCTTCCTGCTGAAGAGGAAATTAGGAAACGATGATTGAGTTGAGTAGGACATACATTGAGAAAATCACCAAACTTCATCACGAAGCAAGCCCTAACTTAGAATCCTGAATGGAAACGTTAAAGTGGAAGGCTAAATAGCACATTACGTCGGGAAATAGAAGCAGACATGAAAGGGATTGCCGAGGAAATTGTTGGATGGGGAGTGCTGGTGAGCGGCCTATGTTCCCCACAAGAGATAACATGCGTAAGTATGTTATCAGGTCACGTCGTGCTTACCACTCAAGGCTTTATAACGCATGTGTCCGTAAAATCTTCTTAATCGAAAGATAACAAGCCAGTCAAATTAGGAGTCAGGGATGAATGAATTTTAAGATATACTTGGATGGTCATTGACATGTTGGGGAACGTTTGATCTAAGCCTGGTATTGATTGCAAGGAATACCTAGGAAGTATATCCTACTCTAGCTGACCATTTAGAAGTCACGCGTAGTGCAACTTCTGAATACGAATCAACTATGATCAACTACACTTACAATCACGGGCTATTTTATTTACCTTGCAGTCAGTTCATCGGGAGAGACTGGTATACCAGTGTTGCCCAGTCCTGAAGTATTAGTTAACAACCATAATTAACTGTCATCAGTGCTTTTACAGGTTAACCATCATAAACACTTTTAATGTATAAGCTTGTGGCGGTAAATAAATCCTCAAAATAAATAGTTATGTAAGTCTTCAACATCTGATGCTGACATCACTAGTTTTACTGGACATACATTGCTGAGTGCACTCGGTCATACATTCGCACCAGATCGCCATTTGGTAAGCCGAAAATAATCTTGCGTGAATACTTGACTGATAGTTGTTTTCTACTTAACCTATCGTGGTCCACATCAATGTCGAATGCTCACTGAGCAATTTATTTTTGGAAATGGTCGAACATTACAACCACAACCTTTAAATAAATAAAAGTTAAACGATGTTGTTTCAACACGATGTAGATTATCCTGACCTTAATATATTTTACTTCATTTGATGTAGTATGAACTATTATTCAAATGTTATTGAACTGTCAAAATTATCCCTATTATCAGGTATTATTGCAGTTTGAATAAGCTGATGATTTATCTTTCCGGAAGGGTGCAAGTTTAAAATTTGATAACCTGAAGAAAAGACACCAATTTTTAAGCATATATATATATATATATATATATATATATATATATATATTACACTTGTTTTCGTTAGCTGTTGAAATTGGTCAGATGTAATCATTAGGAGTATTTAAATTATAGTATGAACTAGGAATCCCAGAAATAACGTAGTCGGATCAAGAAGTACTAGATAAACACAAACGAATGTACTATATTTAGAATTCGGAATCAAGCATTCAACAAGTACAAAGGAATCATCAGTTCATTCAAACAACACATCCGCCACAGCTTAAATTAGAGTCCAAGTGTCTGTAATCGATTGTAAGTCTTCTTAAGTTCATCCTATGTTTGTACGACATTGTATTGGATAAAAACTCTGGATTATTTGGACTGTGCTCATTGATATTGGAATTAACAACCGAAATCAAAACAGACTCATCTGCTTCCTGGGATTGTATACAATCGCCGTGTTGGTTGTGTACCGAAACCACTATCTAGAATTTAAAGCACAGATTTCCCAACACTATCCTCCCCCACGAAATAATGTTGGATCATTACGAATGATGTGGCTTCATTTAAAACATATTTCTCACATTGACTAGAGTAAACATTAGAAGTGACTTCGACATATGAAATAATCCAAATTGTGATCAAACCCGCGCTCATTCAGTACTTGTGTTTCACACTGAACAAGTTTCCCACAAGAAACAAAAGTATTATGAGGACAAATAATATTTGATATGACATCAAGCTTTGACTCTTCTGTAATAATTTCCTCGAATTCATTAGGAATGTCATTGCAGAGCAAAGGATCATTAAAAAAATCAGCATCTATCAAAACTACATCAGGTTTTCCATCATGACTGGGCTTATAGCGTGGCGTGGAGTTGAGATTAACTATGAACACCGCTACCAAGAAACACGTGCCAAGTTAATCAGAAGGCGAAGGTTGAACGTAACCAAAGAAACCCATAAAATCTCCGAGAAGCCAAATATCAGAAGGCAATTAATGGACCAAGTCGAGTTATATTTGCTGGCGATCTCGTGGCATCGAAAGGATACCGAGATCGTGCCAGGATACAAGCTTGGTTACAGAAGGTAACCGAATTCGCGCGAAGTCACAATCAAAAGTGCAAGTATAAGAATGGAAGCACAAAATAGCTGTCATTAGCACAGTCAAACAAAAGCACGTTAAAACAAACACTGGTACAGTTGGTTATAATAATAATTGTTTTTATTAAACCAGTCGTGTTCTCGTGATAAATGTGAACAAACTAGGAATCCCAGAAGTAACGCAATTAGAACAAGAAGTAATAGATAAGCACTAACGAATGTACTGTGTTTGGACTTCGAAATCAAGCATTCGACAAGTACAAAGGGATCATCAGTTCATTTAAACACCACATGAGATCATCGAAATAAGAGATTTTTATAATCAAAAGTTTTTAGAATAGAAACTAAGGCTGACCACTGAGAAACAAAAATTTGAGAAAGGCAATTCTTACAATAAAATGAAATATTCTATTCATTCTAAAGTAAAAAATCATCATCATCATTAATGTATTCTAAATAGTATATTCTGAATTCACTGCAAAATTGTGTATAACAAGTTCTTTTTCAAATCTAAATAAGATTTAACTAGTATAACTATAGAAATAATATAAACAAATATTCTTTAAAACATTTTTTATTAGTCAGTAAACACTTATTCAGAAATGTATAAACAAAAGACAGTAAATAACTGAAAACAAATAATGTATATGTTACAAACTATGTATACACATTATGAATCCAAACTTTCAACTATTTAAATTTACTCCTTTCATGAAAGTTCCAATTTTGTTTATTTTACTGAAAAAAAAAACACTATTTCTAAAGTATATTGTAATGTGTGCTACTAATGTCCATAGATATAAGTAGTATGCATCATTAATCGAAAGTGAAATGTTTTGGTGGTAGAAAGTTAAGAAGTTCAATGGAAAGAGAATATAAAAATTTTGAAAAAAAGATGATTGGTATGGAAACAAAAGAACAATGAATTCTGAGACAATTAATTGACATTTTGCTAAAGGTATAATCAAGTTTGAGATAATTGATTGACATATTTTATAAATAAACAATTTACTGTATGATTCTCAGATTTTTATTAACATGTTCTATAAGTTTGTATTCAAGTATATCCAATTGTTATCATTTATATTCTCGTTCACTAAAGTATCTGTTATAAGTATGGTCATCTGAATTAAAATATATAGTTAAATATTCATCACTGTTATTTATAAACAGATTATTTATTTTAACACATAGCTACTGGTACAAAGAGGCACCAAATACAAATGAGCCACACAAATCTTATTTGATATGTGTGAGGGCTGTGATACTACCCGGGTTCACAAACCAAAGCAGGTGGTTCACTTAGGGGGCCACTCTCGGATCCTTTGACCTGATGCACAAGGCAGTGGAGCATCGTAAGGATATGCAGTCCCATGGTAGCCGGTGACCAACGATTGGTTCATACGCCATTTGTTCACCCAGTGTGCTGGAGCCCATGTACTCGGTTGGTTTGGAATTAGGGTTTTCAAACTCCCCTAGGTGGATTCTCGATGTCTACCAACCCGATTAAAGCGCCGGACATTCGCTTTTCATCCTCTCAATTTCGTTAACAACACCCCCTCCACGAGAAGGTAGTGAGTAGGACTTCCCTGACAGAGGCTATATACGCGTGGTCATGTGAGATCACTTCGAGAGGGAGAGCGAACTCTCCCCACTCTCGACCGTACCAGGGCATTTGGGGGCTAAAAGATTTCAACAATCATAAATGAAAACGATATACATATCATTATTAAACTGAAATCGATTAATTATCTACCTTAAATAAACAGAAATATTTATGTATATTTATGATAAACAATTAAAATAATAATAAATAGATAAAACAATATTTTGAATAAAATAAATTTTAATATTATATAACAATGAGACATAATAAATAATGGCCAATTATTATTATTCTATATTATTAGTTTATATGATTGGTTTGTTTTTGGCAACAACAATAACAACAACAACAACAAAAACGACGAAAACAAAAACAACGACTAAAATCAAATTTAAAAAAAAAGAAAATAGAAGTGAATTATAAAAACAATCATCCTTATTGAATAGTTTATTATTTGATATACACATTTGATTTAGTTGAAAATTTAAAAGTAGTTATTATTATAAATGTACGGACTAATAGTGATCGGTATACAAAATTATGTTGAATCAATTTATGGTGAAGATGTATGGTTTAGAATAGTTGAAAAATCTAATATAGGTTTATTAACATTTCAAACGCATAATACCTATTCTGATACAGTACCAGAACGTTTATTTTTAGCATTTAGTCATGAAACTGGTGAAAGTATTGAAAATGTAACTTATCAAACTGGTTTATCATTTGCTGCATTTATATCTGATTATGGTTATGAAAATTTATTACGTGTACAAGGAAGAGATTTTATAAGTTTTTTACATAATTTAGATAATTTACATGAATATTTACGTTTATCTTATCCAGATATTCAACCACCATCATTTTCTATTATAAATGCTACAAATGATTGTATACGTTTAAAATATTCATCAAAACGTAATGGATATATACATTATGTTCGTGGACAATTAATTACATTAGCTAAACGTTTATATAATCTTGATATTAAAGTGATATTAATTAGTACGAAAATTATTAATAATATTTATCAAACAATTTATGATATATATGCATTAAATGGTAAACGATGGATTGATCCACAAAATTATTATATACAAAAACCATTAGATAGTTGGGGTGATACAATATCTAGTAATGTATTTTTTGATATATTCGCTTTTTCATTATTAATAACAAATCAAATGAAAATTAAACGAGCTAGTACATCATTTCGTAAATTAGATTCATCTCTTGAAGGTTCAGATTTTAATGAAAAATTCTTATTATTTAGACCATTTATTAAATCAAATATAGAAGAGGTAAGTTGAAAAAAGTTTTTAATATATATATGAAATCCTATTCTATGATATATTGTTATATTATGCTTGAAATATGATTGTTTGACATTTTTGATGTACTAATGTAATTCATTGATACCTATTAAACTATCTGTTAGATTTATAAATCAAAGTATATCTGTTCAACAGTTACTTTGTTGTATTCCTATATGATATTTCTAAATGCTAGATTAAATATTTGTTGAGGGGGACAATTGTTAAATAATGTTAATTCCCTGTTTAAAATAGAAATAGGTTAATAAACATTAAAATGAACTGATATGTCATTTGTACAATGAAATTCATCGGTAAACATAAAACTATGGAAGTTGACAAAATAGTAAGAAACTTTCATTTGATAATATATACTTGTATTTGTTATATCAAAAATGTTTACTATTTTTGCAGAACTTAATTAGTTAATTAAACCGAAATAAAACTTCATTGTACACGTTCTTCATAATGAATATCTTCGTTACATATGAAATTACCAGTATAGGGATTGTGGAGATTATTAACTTTTTGATCATGAACCAATTGATGTTCGACCACCGTTGGAAACCTGGAAGCACTGGATGGCCGTTTCGTCCTATTGTGGGAAGCCTCAGCAGTGCGCATCCACAATCCCGCTCGTAGGATTCAATGTCGTGCGCGTACGCCTAATCTATTGAACCAATGAGCCGGCATCCAATGGTATATATATATATATCTTTTCAAGCAAACACGCTGTGACTACGGGTGCATACAAAATTTCAAAGATGTACTACATACACACAAATAGTTATGAACTTCTGAACTCGGATTAATATATCCATGTAATTATGAGCATTTTTTTATTATGACCACTGGAAGTTGAACCATTTTTTCTTTTTAAATCTTTCAAGTTTTATTTAGTAACCATATATATTTACTAGTGTCAAATGGTTAATTTTAGTTATTTTTCTTAAATGTCATTTAATCGGGTTAATGATTAATCTATTCAATGAAGATATCTTCATAGCTCTTTCCAATTTAATAGTGATTGACTATACACAAAAAAAAACATTAAACGTTCATTATGATGCCCATCATTCAATTATTTCAGTTATAATTAATTATGATATAAAACTAGAAGAAAAGATTTTTAAAAAAAAACAAAAACAAATTACTTTATAAACATCATTCATTACCAAGTAGCCTAATATATTGATGAGGACCGAAAGCAGAAACAACAAAACAAACAAACAAAACAAATCACTAACTTTAAATACCGCCCTTCTTTTATATGAATAGCCATAATCATCTGATACATCAGTTAATTAAAGGAGAAATTAAAGCAATTAATTAAAGAAAATTTTCTTTACGATGATTTTATTGTAATTAAAATGATTTAAAATAAGTAGAATATATTTCATTGAAAAAAAGAGAATATGAATACGTCATAAAGTATCCGAAGATTTAAAATCTTATAACCCGGTTATGTAATAGTCTCAAGTTTAAAGAAAAAAATAGTAAGGTATGAATAATTTATAGATCTGAAATATAAAAGATGATTGTCCATTTGCCAAATTTGAAGTTAAAAATCTAGAGATCATGAAAAAATCATTAAACAAAGTCAGGAGAGTTTAATAACAATTGACTAGTAAATAAAAAAAAAACTACATGGAGTAGTAAGGATATGGAAGAATGAGAGAGTTTACATTCTGGTTTAGAACTCCAAGTTCATGTTTGAACTGGTGATTTGATAAAACCACTCCAAAGAACAAGTTTTCAATTTGTGATACATTTGAGTTTACTGGTTCAATGCCACAGATGATTTCAAAAAAAAAAGAAGATAAAATGTTCACGAATATATAACACTGTTAAAGTTTAATTTTTGAATACGATTATATAACTAAATAACAGTAGTAACATTTTATTCTCCATGAAACTAAAGGATTTATAATTAAGAAAATTCGTATGAAATGCTTCACTTTATACCCACCATAACTCCACTAATACTGCTTCCTGTATTCACTGAAACGGCTAACTGCTCATACAAAATTTATCAGCTAATTCTGATCCACCCATCAAAAATCCAGAAAAACTAAACAGATATGACCCTCTATTCCGTACTATTCAGACTAAAAAAATCATATAATTACACGCAAAAGATACAGAACAGTGAATTACTGCAAACAATGAATCAATGATAACTATGAAAACGATTACATAATAGGTGAAAATTGAAAAGTACAAATTGGTAGTGTGATATCAGGTGCATTAGTTTTTGATAAGAATAATAAAGGCAAATAGAGCTATTAAGATATCCTCAGTTGACACAATTTATAAGGAATTAGAGCACATTCATAATAAGTTGACTGAATCGGGATATCCACAAGGTTTCCTGAAGATATACTTGCGGGTACAAAACAAGAAAATAGTGACTCTGACGGCTAATAAGAAACCGCTTTTCTTGAAGCTGCAATTCAATGGTGATTTAGCTAGCGATGTATTACGGGATAGATTGACTAGAGCAGTAAAGAGAACGTTTAATGCTCCCAACCTCTGCCTATCGTATTCGACACGATCGATGGTAATTCCGCAATTGAAGGATGAGTTACCTGGAAATGCCACTTCTATGTGTATCTACGTCTTCCGCTGCTCCTGTGGAGAAAGCTATATTGGGCGCACTACCAGGCAACTGAACTAAAGAGTTAGTGAACACCTCCCTTCGTGGTTTGGAAAAGGTAACGTCAAGACAATAAGCAGCTCGATTCTATCACACTTGATCGACAGCGGTCATGTAGTGGACATAAACAAGTCATTTAAAGTTATTTATCGTATTCCCACTAGTTTCCTTTATGGTGTTCGATCTCGTCTCTTACACATAGCAGAAGCTATAGAAATCCGAGCCAACAATCCAAGTCTTTGTGTTCAGAAGAAATTTGTAACACCTTTATCTCTCCCTTGGCCTTAATAAATGAATTTATTTATTTTTCAAACTTTCTCATCGTTTGTTATGTTTTTCACCCCCTTCTGCCATTTTATTTTATTTTCTCACAAACATACGTTTCACAGTCCAACAATGAATCTCAAAGTGTTTGAAAACTGAGTAATGGGGGTATATAATTATTTTTTGTGATTTATGAACGACTGAAAATCAGGGAATCCGATAGAAGACTAAAATAAAAACAATATCAAGATACTATAAACCAATCAATAAACTTTAGATCTCGTAACAATCACTTTAGACCACTGAGTGGGTATTTAAATTTTACGTTTTCAACTACAATCAGTTAACGAAGGAGTCCCATAGTAGGATGGACTGGCTATCCATCGTTTTATAGTTTCCAGCTGTTGTCAAATGATTAATCAATTAAAATGAGACCACTCCTCTGACTCGTTGGTCTAAAGGTTTCGACTTGTGATTCGAAAGTATACTTAAACTGCATTTCTCAAAATGTGATAAAATGATAAGGTTTCAACCCTAGAATTGGTGTACTCCACTTCAACTGAAATCTAAAACAGAAATCTTCTAGGAAAAGAGGGTTATAGTTTAAAGATTTGTAGACTCATTACGTGATATCTCAAGAAGCAGATAATCACGTGTCGTCTCAGGATTAAATGGTACGCTGGAAGTTACGTAAATAGCATACTAATGGATGAATTAGATTATGCCATGATCATGGTTTCAGTTTACGTATCGTCGTTTGGGTTCGATAGACATTCGTATATATATACCTTTACTTTGTGTACATTATAGTTTGATCTATCAACTAAACTGTCTTATTTATTTCAGTATCCTTATTTCTACGGTAGGTTTGTTTAACCATTAAAAGTTTATGTCGTCACTGAATAGGACTGCAAAATTAAATAAAAATTAGACTCGAATTCTATAAATTTCGAAACTTTTCGTAATTCATGACCAATATGGGTTATGTACGTACAATATGAATAAAAATCACATTATTTCATGAATAAAAACAATAAGAAGTGGATACCACCCAGAATCACTTATTGAAATAATAATGTTTACATTTTTTTCTTTTAAAAAAAGAATGATTACCAACCGAAACAAAAATAGAGAGAAAGAAACTGTAGGGAAGTATGACGATGATGTTTATATTATCTTATACATATTGTTCTCAATTTTGAGTATTATATGTTAGAATCATAATGAATGAAAGACATTTTTATAGAAAACCATAATAGAACTAACTATTTTAGACTTTACAAAAAAAAACAAGCAAATTAACTAATGACTGAAATTTATTTTATCAGATATATTTGAATTGTTAAGCAATTAATCCATATGTCTAATGTATATGAAAGAAAGAAAGAAAAAAAGACAAAATAACTATCCCACTGTCTCCAAACTAAATGAATAATATTTTAAGTAGTTAATGCTACTATTAAATCTATTAAAGTAATATAGTATTATTCTATATTATTCATAAAATAAAATGAAATTTATTAAATTAACAATAATTTTCATTGAAGTAATCCATCAGTTTACTTTCTAATACAAAAAAATGTATATCTACTATCAATCATTTTGATGGAGTTTTACTCTTTGAATTCAAAGAATAAAACTCCATCGAAATCATTCACCTAAACTACAAATCTTCATCATCATCGCATTATCAATCATATTATGTAATTATTTAATTTATTTTATAAAATAAGAATAAACATTTTGATTGATATATATATATATATATATATATATATATATATATATATATATTCAACTGATTAATCTTGATCATATAAATAGTAGAACATGCCTTGTATAGTATTCATTTCACTTGAGATTAGACAGTCGATAGCATACGATCTGTATTAATAAGGACTAGACACGCATGACATTGATCACCATCCAGTGATCAATCAATTCATTTCACTTATATTTATATAATGTATGGTTTATTATTTGAAAGTTTACGTAAATATATTGAAACCACTTATAATCATGATATATGGTTACAAATTTTATATCATGTAATAAATAAAGAGAAAATATTTCAAAC